TTCTTCATTTTAAATTTTTCGTCCAGGTCCTACCTCTTTTCAAGACATATTAACAGAAAAAAATTAAAGTAGAATTTTATTCAAGCTTAGCTTGGTCTACTTTATTAGAAAATGTCAAAAAACTCATTCTTCCCAATGGTATTTTTAAATTTTGAATTTTTGGTAATTCTGTCAATTTTGATACTTTTGACATCAGAAGGCTAAAAACTAAGATTGAGACCTACTACCTAACCTCATATATTATTAATTTCTAGACGTTTATAAGTCTCTAGAAATATTTAAAATAGGGATGATTGTTCAACTTTTGGATAATTTAATTTTTTCGATGTTACCAACAATTTGTTTTTTCAGATTTTTTACTTTCTTAGTTTTTTATTTTTCAATTTTTCAATTTTTGGTTTTAAAATTTGTCGACATGCAAATTTTCGAGTTTTCAACTTTTTTTTCATTTGAGTTTTCGAAATCCTTGATTTTTAAATTTTTAAAAGTCCTTTTATCGTCCATTTTCTGGATTTTTAATTTTTCAGTTTCTCAAAAATAAAACCAAATTTATTAAGAGCGGGATTTTGAAAAATTGAAAAGAACGAGATTTTGGATTATTTTCCCTGATTCCTAGATTGTTAGAGCGAAAATTTGTAATTTTGAAAAATTTCACAATTGAAGAACTGGAGAAATGAAAATTTGGAAAATCGAAAATTTATAAAGAAATCAAAAAATTCAAAAATACAGAAATCATAAAAAAAGCAACGAAAAAATTGAAAAATCTAAAAATTAGAAATTGAAAATCTGAAAAATCAGAAGAATTGAAAACACATTAAAATAGGTGTCTAAAAATGAAAAATCGAAAAATTGAGGATCGAAAATTTGAAAAAAATAAAAATTAAGAAATCGGAAAATTATAACATCAGAAAATTGCAAATCGAAAAATTAAGGACACGAAAAATCGAAAATCGAGAATTGAAAAATCAAGAAAATAGAAAATTCGAAAAATTGTAAGAAAGAAAACTAGGAAAGTCAAAAAATTTCCAATTGAAAAATTGAAGAATCGAAAATTTCAAATATCAAAAATTAAAAATCGAAAAATTGAAAAATCGAAAAAAAGAAAAACCAAAAACTTGAAAAATCGAGAAATTGTGAAATCCAAAAATTTTTAAATCGAAAAATTGCCAATCGAAGAATAATTGTAGAAATGAAAAGTTAATCAAAACACAAAAAAATAAAAAATTGAGAAACCAAAAATTCGAAAAATTCGAAAAACGAAAATTTGTAAAATTAAAAAAATTTATTACAATCGAGAAATTATAAAATCGAAAAATTGTAAAATCGGAAAATTGCAAATCGAAAAATTGAGGAAACGACAAATAGAAAAATCGAAAAAATGAAAATCGATAAAGCGAAAACTCGATAAATTGAAAAATTAAGAAAATAGAAAAATCAAAAAATAGTGGCAACGAAAGCTGATACAATCGAAAAATTTCGAATTGAAAAGTTGATGAAATGAAAATTTTAAAAATCGAAAAATCAGAACAATTAAAAACACGATACATTAAAATACCTAAAAATGAAAAATGGAAAAAATTGAGGATCGAAAATTTAAATAAAATAAAAATTAGGAAATCAGAAGATTTAACACCCAGAAATAGAAAAATTGAAAATATGAAAAATTGTAAAATCGGAAAATTGCAAATCGGAAAATTATAAAATCGAAAAATTGAAAACCTAACTTGAAAAATCGAGAGATTGTAAAATTCAAAAATTTTAAAATCGAAAAATTGCCAATCGAAGAATAATTGTAGAAGTGAAAAGTTAATTGAAACACAGAAAAATAAAAAATTGGGAAACCAAAGAATCGAAAAAATGGAAAAATAGAAAATCGTAAAATCGAAAAAATGTGTTACAATTGAAAAATTGTAATATCGGAAAATAGTAAAATCGGAAAATTGCAAATCGAAAAATTAAAGACACGAAAAATAGAAAAATCAAAAAAATGAAAATGGATAAAGTGAAAATTCAATAAACTGAAAAATCAAAAAATAGAAAAATCGCAAAATTGTAGGAACGAAAACCAGTGAAGTCGAAAAATTTAGAATTGAAAAACTGAAGAATTAAAAAATTGAAAAATCGAGAAATTGTAAAATCCAAAAATTTTAAAATCGAAAAATTGCCAATCCAGGAAAATTGTAGAAGTGAAAAGTTAATCAAAGCAGAAAAATCAAAAATTGAGGAACCAAAAAGTCGAAGATTGGAAAAACGGACAACTGTAAAATCGAAAAGATATAATGCAATCGAAAATTTATAAGACCGGAAAATTGCAAAATTGAAAAATTTTTAACCGTAAAAAAAGTGAAAAATTGAAAAACCGAAAAACTGTAAAAATGGAAACTAGTTATAAAGATGAAAAAGGGAAAAAACGAAAATTTGCAAAATCGGAAAATTGTAAAGTCGGAAAATTGCAAATCGAATAATCGAAACGAAAAATATAAAAAATGAAAATCGATAAGGCGAAAAATCACGAAAATTGAAAAATCCAAAAATTGTAGGTTACGAAAACTAATAGTCGAAACATTTCTAAATGAAAAGCTGAAGAAAAGAAAAATTGGAAAATCAAAAAATTACAAAATCGGGAAACTCCAGATACCCATAAATCGAAAAATTGAAAAACCAAAAAAATTGAAATTCAAAAAATTGTCTATCGAAGAATTCCTAATTGTAGAAGTGAAAATTTGAAACATAAAGATCAAAAATTGAGAAACAAAAAAGCAGAAAAATTAAAAAACAAAAAATTATAAAATTGAAAAAATTTATTACAATCGAAAAATTATAAGATCGGAAAATTATAAACTCGAAAAATTGTCAACCGTAAAACAGAAAAAATTAAAAATTGAAGAACCGAAAAATTGTAAAAACAAACTAAAAGGACAAAAAAGCGAAAAAACGACAATTTGTAAAATCGGAAAATTGTAAAGATGGAAAATTGCAAATCGAATAATTGAAACGAAAAATAGAAAAATCGAAAAAATGAAAATCGATAAAGTGAAAAACTGATAAGGTGAAAAATCCAAAAAATTGAAAAATCGAAAAACTGTAGTTTACGAAAACTAGTAAAGTCGAAAATTTTCCACTTGAAAAACCGAAGAACAGAAAAATTGAGATATCAAAAATTAAAAATCGAGAAATTGAATAATTGTAGAAGGGAAATGTTGAAACACATAAAAATCAAAAATTGAGAAACTATAAAGTCGAAAAATTGGAAAAACACAAAATTGTAAAATCGAAAAAATGTATTGCAATCAAAAATTTGTAAGATCGGAACATTGTAAAATCGAAAAAATGGAAAAACGTAGACTAAAAAAACAAAAAAGTGAAACAACATAAATTTTTAAAATCGGATAATTGTCAAGTCGGAAAATTGCAAATCGAGTTATTGAAACGAAACCTAGTAAAATCGAAATTTTCCAATTGAAAAACTGAAGAAAAGAAAAATTGAAATATCAAAAATTAAAAATCAAGAAACTGAAAAACCAAAAAATTGAAAAACCAAAAATCAAAAAACCCAGAAATTGTAAAATCGAAAAATTGCCAACCGAAAAGCTGAAATAGATAAAAATCAAAAATTGAGAAATTCAAAAGTAAAAAAATTGGAAAAACAAAAAATTGTAAAATCGAAAAAATGCATTTCAATCGAGAAATTGTAAGATCGGAAAATTATAAACTCGAAAAATTGCGTATGAAAATTTGAAAAATCGAGAATTAGAAACTGAATTAATGAAAAATCGGAAACTAAACATTAAGGAAATAAAAAATTCAAAAATTGGAAACACGAAAAATTGTGATTAAAAAAATGAAGAAATGCAAATTTGAAATACCAAAAATTAAAAGGTCTGGAAACAGAAAATTTAAAAACTGAGAAACCAAAATATCCAAAAATCAAAAATTGTAAAATGGAAAAATTGTAATTCGAAAAACTGAAAAGTCGAAAAATTGAAAAAACGAAAAATTGTAAAATTGAAAAATTGAAGAAATGAAAATTTAAAATAACAAAAGTCGAAAAATTGAGAAACCAAAAAATTGAAAAATCCAAATTTTTAAAATAGAAGAATTGTAAAATCGACAAATTGTAAGTTCGAAGATCAAAAAATCGCCTATCGAAAAACTGAAGAAATGACAAAATGAAAAATCAAGAATTAAACATTGAAAAATTGTAAAATCGGAAAATTGGGAAACCAAAACATTGAAAAATTATAAAATCGAGAAATTGTAAGATCGAATAATTGTTAAATCGAATAATTGCACGTCAATAAAGAGAGAAATCAGGAACTGAAAAAGTGAATCTCGAAAAATCGAAACCCAAAATACATTATTATTGAAAACTAAAAGTTTTAGATATTCTAAAATAAAAAATCGAATAATTGAAAATCGAAAATTTGAAGAAACGAAAATTAAACACTGAGAAATTAAAAAAACACATTGAGAAACTGAAAATCCATATTGTGAAACTGAAAAACCGAAAACAAAAAATTGTAGTGAAATCGAAAAAGGGCAAATCGAAAAATTAAAGAAACAAAGGATTGAAAAAAACAAAAATTAAAACATCGAAAAATTATAAGAGCGAAAACTTGTAAAATCGAAAACGTCCATTGAAAAATTGAAGAAATGAAAAATTAAAGAAACGAAAAACTGAAGGAACGAAAAATTGAAGAAACGAATAATTGAAGAAATGATAAATTGAAAATTCAAAAAATTGAAGACCGGGAAATAGAAAATAAAATATCTGGAAATTATAAATTAGTAATCGAAAAATTTCAAATGGGAAAATTAAGGAAACAAAAAATTGTAAAATCGAAAAAAGACTGGATAATCGATGGATGCTTATTTCCCTCGACGTTGTTTTTCTTCCAAAAACTTACCTCAAACCCCAAGCCCCCTCCTTCCGTCCCCCCCTTCCCCCACACATAAACAACTCTAGTATTTACAAATTTTATTAGTAAACAAAACTGCGATAAATAAACAGGCATTTGTCGTTAATCTGCAAAAATATATACAACAACAAGTATATACACCAAGTCTGTACATCACCCTCGCCCCTCACGAACAAGTACTGACAGTCCTCGTCTCGTTGCACTTCTCGCACTTCACCTCACAGCACCACAGGAACTTGCACCTGCAGTTCTTCTCCTCGGTGACCTGGTGGCTGGTGTAGCCGCGGCCGCAGCACAGGATGCTGCAGCCCTCCTCGGCGAGCGAGGTGTCCACGCAGGCGCGCCCCTGCGTGCCGAACGAGCCCAGCGTGCTGTTGGGCAGACAGAAGGGCGGCGACTCCTCGGAGTAGACGAGGTCCATCTTACTGGGCGGCTTGATCGACGCGTCCTCGGGCATGAAGCTCTGGCCGTCGTTGCCGGCGATCACCTTGGCGGCGCCGTCGAAGCGCTCCTTGAGGCGGTTGCCCACGTCGCGGAACGACGGCATCTTGCGCCAGCACGTCTTGAGGGTGCACGAGCCGGAGAGGCCGTGGCACTTACACTCGGTGCGCATGTGGTTCTTGATGGCCTGGAAGAAAGAAAAGTTGTCCAGGAATTTTCAAAATATCAGATTTCGATTTATGAGTATTGAAAGCAGTAAAAACCAAGTTTGAAAGCATGTAGAACGCTAGTTTTTTTTCTAAAGGTAGAAAAAAGATATAGGACCAAGTGGGGATTTTCATGCAAAATTTCAAGAAAAAGAATATACTACTACAAATATTAAAAGGCGAATAAAAGAAGAGGGAACAAACTTATGGGGAAAAAGAGAAGAAAATAAATTCAAAACGGAATAAATAAATAAATAAATGCTTTCAAAGTACCAGAAGATTATCATAATCAATTCATCTAGCAGTTGAATGAACAAAAGAGGAAAGTAGTAAAATTTAAAACAAAATAACGAAAAGACAAAACACCCTAAAAAATAAAAGAGGGAAAGGTGCCAACATCGCATTTATTTTGAATCGAAATCGAATTGAAGGTCAATATAGAAACATAAGAAACTATAAGAAATTAAAGACAAAGAAGAAACGAGAAGAATTCAGAAGAAAACTAGCTTCGAAAGAAGATAAACAAAAAGAAATGTCACAAAAAAGATGAAGCAGAAAAAGAAAAAAATGATAAAAAAAAGAAATTAAAAATATTATTCGAGGTATGTGGAATAAAGTTAAACGAAAAATGTTATGAAAATAGAAAATAGGAAAATTAAACGGAGAGGACTAGCGAGGTCCACAAAACAGTTTTAGATGAAAGTACGTAAAAAAACAAGAAAAGAAAGAAACAACAAGAAGAAAAAAAATGAGAGTCATTTAAACAGGGAACAAATGGAGAATTATTTCAATAGTGAATGACAGAAAATAAGGAAACTGGCAGAAATATAGAGAAGGTGAATTTCCACTTGTTAGCGGGCCAAAAACAAGAGTGAAAATAGGTTCAAAAAGCCAAAGGTGTCAACATCGAACTGCCTTCCAGTCGAAGCCGAATTGAAGGTTAATACAGAAAAATAAGAAAATAAAAGAAGTTAAAATAACAAAGAATAAATGAGAAGAAAATTTGCAAAGAAAAATGACAAAACAATTAACAAAAATCTAGTTAAAAAAGAAGACAGAAAACAAGAGATAACAAAAAAAAATAACCAAAGAAAAACGTAAATCACTGTGTTTAAAAAAATAGTATTTTTTTTGAGTTATATATAAGTGGAACAAAATTCAATAGTTAAATAGAAAATTGCTGAAAAAAGAGAAAATAAAGTGGGAAAGTAGAAACTGACTTTCTATAGAAGAGGTACCTAAAAAAAGAATACAAACAAATGTTAATAAAAACGATAAAGAAGAAGAAGAAGAATCATTAGCAGGCCATATTCCAGTGAAGGCTGAATTCGTGATTGATATACAAAATAAAGTAGCAGTAGTTAATACACAAAGTAAAAAGAAGAAGATAGAAAAAAGAGGTGTGACAAAAAAATAATTAAAAGAAAACACAACAGATAAAATATAACGAGAAATTTTTGAAAAAGTACAAATAGAACACAATTAAAAAGTTAACAAGGAAATTGCCCAAAAAAGAAAGAAAATAGCAAAACTGGAAGGAAAGATTGTCGAGAATTTCAAAAGAACTTTATACGAAAATGTATGGAGAAACATAGTAAACAAGGAACATAAAGAAGAGAAAGTATTGAGAGATATCAAAATACAGAAAAAACTAGAGATATGTCAATAAGGAATGAAAAAAGAGAGAATACATAGAGAAGAAGAAATTAAATTCCCTTATGACAGTAGGCAAAGAAAGAATGTAAAGAAAGTTAATAAGTACACTCAAAGACGAAGAAGAATCAACATCAGACTACATTCTAGTGAAAAGTTGTGGAGATTAATATGATAAATACAAAGACAACAGAAGTTAAAACACAAAGAAGAAACGAGAAGAACATTTGCAAAGAAAAAGGATAAAAGAATTTTGAAGAAAATTATCATAGAAAGCAGACAGATGAGAAGATTGCAACAAAAAAAAGAACTAAAGAAAACATAAATAATTTGTCATAAAAAATAAATTAGAAATATTTTTTTGGAGTATAAATGTAACACGATTAAAAAGTTAACCATGAAATTGACCAAAAAAAAGGAAGGAAAAAGCAAAACTGGAAGGAAAGATTGTGGAGAACTCCAAAAGAACTTTATACGAAAATGAATGGAGAAACATAGAAAACAAGGAACATAAAGAAGAGAAAGTATTGAGAGATATCAAAACAGAGAAAAAACTAGAGATATGTCAATAAAGAATGAAAAAAAGAAAATAACAGAGAAGAAGAAATTAAATTCTCATATGATAGTAGGCAAAGAAAGAATGTAAAAAAATGTTAATAAATACACTCAAAGACGAAGAAGAATCAACATCAGAATATATTCTAGTGAAAAGTTGATGGAGATTAATATGATAAATACAAAAACAACAGAAGTTAAAACACAAAGAAGAAACGAGAAGAGCATTTGCAAAGAAAAACTATAAAAGAATTTTGAAGAAAATTATCATAGAATGCAGACAGAAAAGAAGATTGTAACAAATAAAAAAATACTAAAGAAAACATAAATAATTTGTCATAAAAAATAAATTAGAAATATTTTTTTGGAGTATAAATGTAACACAATTAAAAAGTTAACGATGAAATTGACCAAAAAAAGGAAGGAAAAAGCAAAACTGGAAGGAAAGATTGTGGAGAACTCCAAAAGAACCTTATACGAAAATGTATGGAGAAACATAGAAAACAAGGAACATAAAGAAGAGAAAGTATTGAGAAATATCAAAACAGAGAAAAACTAGAGATATGTCAATAAAGAATGAAAAAAGAGAGAATACATAGAGAAGAGGAAATTAAATTCCCTTATGATAGTAGGCAAAGAAAGAATGTAAGAAAAAAGTTAATAAATACACTCAAAGACGAAGAAGAATCAACATCAGACTACATTCTAGTGAAAAGTTGATGGAGATTAATATGATAAATACAAAAACAACAGAAGTTAAAACACAAAGAAGAAACGAGAAAAGCATTTGCAAAGAAAAACGATAAAAGAATTTTGAAGAAAATTATCATAGAACGCAGACAGATAAGAAGATTGCAACAAAAAAAGAACTAAAGAAAACATAAATAATTTGTCATAAAAAATAAATTAGAAATATCTTTTTGGAGTATAAATGTAACACGATTAAAAAGTTAACCATGAAATTGACCAAAAAAAAAAAGGAAGGAAATAGCAAAACTGGAAGGAAAGATTGTGGAGAACTCCAAAAGAACCTTATACGAAAATGTATAGAGAAACATAGAAAACAAGGAACATAAAGAAGAGAAAGTATTGAGAAATATCAAAACAGAGAAAAATCTAGAGATATGGCAATAAAGAATGAAAAAAGAGAGAATACATAGAGAAGAAGAAATTAAATTCCCTTATGATAGTAGGCAAAGAAAGAATGTAAAAAAAAGTTAATAAATACACTCAAAGACGAAGAGGAATCAACATCAGACTACATTCTAGTGAAAAGTTGATGGAGATTAATATGATAAATACAAAAACAACAGAAGTTAAAACACAAAGAAGAAACGAGAAGAGCATTTGCAAAGAAAAACTATAAAAGAATTTTGAAGATAATTATCATAGAAAGCAGACAGATAAGAAGATTGCAACAAAAAAAGAACTAAAGAAAACATAAATAATTTGTCATAAAAAATAAATTAGAAATATTTTTTTGGAGTATAAATGTAACACAATTAAAAAGTTAACGATGAAATTGACCAAAAAAAGGAAGAAAAAAGCAAAACTGGAAGGAAAGATTGTGGAGAACTCCAAAAGAACCTTATACGAAAATGTATGGAGAAACATAGAAAACAAGGAATATAAAGAAGAGAAGGTATTGAGAAACATCAAAACAGAGAAAAAACTAGAGATATGTCAATAAAAAATGAAAAAAGAGAGAATACATAGAGAAGAGGAAATTAAAGTCCCTTATGATAGTAGACAAAGAAAGAATGTAAAAAAAAAGTTAATAAATACACTCAAAGACGAAGAAGAATCAACATCAGACTACATTCTAGTGAAAAGTTGATGGAGATTAATATGATAAATACAAAAACAACAGAAGTTAAAACACAAAGAAGAAACGAGAAGAGCATTTGCAAAGAAAAACTATAAAAGAATTTTGAAGAAAATTATCATAGAATGCAGACAGAAAAGAAGATTGTAACAAATAAAAAAATACTAAAGAAAACATAAATAATTTGTCATAAAAAATAAATTAGAAATATTTTTTTGGAGTATAAATGTAACACAATTAAAAAGTTAACGATGAAATTGACCAAAAAAAGGAAGTAAAAAGCAAAACTGGAAGGAAAGATTGTGGAGAACTCCAAAAGAACCTTATACGAAAATGTATGGAGAAACATAGAAAACAAGGAACATAAAGAAGAGAAAGTATTGAGAAATATCAAAACAGAGAAAAACTAGAGATATGTCAATAAAGAATGAAAAAAGAGAGAATACATAGAGAAGAGGAAATTAAATTCCCTTATGATAGTAGGCAAAGAAAGAATGTAAAAAAAAAGTTAATAAATACACTCAAAGACGAAGAAGAATCAACATCAGACTACATTCTAGTGAAAAGTTGATGGAGATTAATATGATAAATACAAAAACAACAGAAGTTAAAACACAAAGAAGAAACGAGAAGAGCATTTGCAAAGAAAAACGATAAAAGAATTTTGAAGATAATTATCATAGAACGCAGACAGATAAGAAGATTGCAACAAAAAAAGAACTAAAGAAAACATAAATAATTTGTCATAAAAAATAAATTAGAAATATTTTTTTGGAGTATAAATGTAACACGATTAAAAAGTTAACCATGAAATTGACCAAAAAAAAGGAAGGAAATAGCAAAACTGGAAGGAAAGATTGTGGAGAACTCCAAGAGAACTTTATACGAAAATGAATGGAGAACATAGAAAACAAGGAACATAAAGAAGAGAAAGTATTGAGAAATATCAAAACAGAGAAAAAACTAGAGATATGTCAATAAAGAATGAAAAAAGAGAGAATACATTGAGAAGAAGAAATTAAATTCCCTTATGATAGTAGGCAAAGAAAGAATGTAAAAAAAAGTTAATAAATACACGCAAAGACGAAGAAGAATCAACATCAGACTACATTTTAGTGAAAAGTTGATGGAGATTAATATGATAAATACAAAAACAACAGAAGTTAAAACACAAAGAAGAAACGATAAGAGCATTTGCAAAGAAAAACGATAAAAGAATTTTGAAGAAAATTATCATTGAAAGCAGATAAGAAGATTGCAACAAAAAAAGAACTAAAAAAACATAAAACATGTGTCATAAAAAATAAATTAGAAATATTTTTTTGGAGTATAAATGTAACACGATTACAAAGTTAACCATGAAATTGACTAAAAAAAAAGAAGGAAAAAGCAAAATTGGAAGGAAAGATTGTGGAGAACTCCAAAAGAACTTTATACGAAAATGTATGGAGAAACATAGAAAACAAGGAACATGAAGAAGAGAAAGTATTGAGAGATATCAAAACAGAGAAAAAACTAGAGATATGTCAATGAAGAATGAAAAAAGAGAGAATACATAGAGAAGAAGAAATTAAATTCTCATATGATAGTAGGCAAAGAAAGAATGTAAAAAAAATAAATACACTCAAAGAGGAAGAAGAATCAATATCAGACCATATTCCAGTGAAAAGTTGATGGAGATTAATATGGTAAATACAAAAACAACAGAAGTTAAAACACAAAAAAGAAACGAGAAGAGAATTTGCAAAGAAAAACGTTAAAAGAATTCTAAAGAAAATTATCATAGAAAGCAGACAGATAAAAAACGTGCAAGAAAGAAAAAGAAGTAAAGAAAACATAAAAAAGGTGTCATAAAAAGCAAAATAAAATAGGAATATTTTTTAGCGTATAAATGCAACACAATTAAAAAGTTAATCATGAAACTGACCAAAAAAAAAAGAAAGAAAAGGTAAAATTGCAAAGAAAGATTGTCGAGAATTTCAAAAAAACTTTAGACGAAAATGTATGGAGAAACAATGAAAACAAGGAACATGAAGAAAAGAAAAGATCGAGAGACATCAAAACGAAAAAAAAACTGAGGAGCTATATCAATAAAGAATAAAAAAATAACATATAGCGTAAAGGGAAAGGTGAATTTCCATATGTTATTTAGTAGGCAAAGAGAGGATGTTAACAAATATTAATAAAATATGCTCAAGGGAGAAAAAAGAGAATCAGGGAATCTTTTAATACCGGCCTTTCCCACTGGGTATTTATCGTATATATGGAAGATCTATATATGCTATGCTATCAATATATAAGTAGAAAAAACTAAAAGAAAAAAGTTAGACTAGGTTTTGCGAGTGACAAAAAAGCATTAGAAGTAGTGGAAGAAAATGAAACGAAATAGAATAACAAATGTTTGGTTAAAATGCCCGAGTTTGAACCAAAAATCAGTCTTAACTGCCAGATAATTTGAAAGAAAAGTTACTTTTTTATTTACCCTGAGAAAACGATTTATTTTGAACTTTTCACCGAAAAAAATGGAATAAATAACTTAATTTTTTCCTTAAGCATCAAATTTTACTCCATTTAAGCAAGCTATTTGACAAACAGGCATCAAATCTTAATTTTTAGAACTCGAATTAAAACTAGCAATTTCTAAAATGATACACGTTTTCTACAACAACTAACACAAAAGTCTTAAAAACACTCACCAGCCTCCCCGCCACATAATTATGAAGTTTGACTAAAGTCTTCATATCACTCCTCTTCCTATACCGCGTATCTAAAAAGTCTTTTGATTTCTTTAACCCAAAATCCACATTCTCACCCGCACAGCCCTCCCACTCCCACTCCCCCTCCGGCATCGAAGCCATTTTCAGTCTCTTCTTGTTCTTCTTGTTCTTCATCTTCTTGTCACACGAGCACCCCAACAGCTCCCCCGTGGTGCACGCTCTGGTCACCTGGTAGGTCACCCCCGCCGCCAGCACGGCGTTGACGAACCCCGTCTCCCTCGTATCTGCAAAAAAAATCACCCCATTAGTTCAAACGCTGCGAACAAAATCGTCGACAAAAAGCAGCTCGACGATACTCTGATGCGACATCGCGTCGATTTTTATCAGTTGTGCGCCAGTTCTTGTCGTTTCTCGCCGAGGATAATAGTAATTGCAAATGTGATTTACCATGAGCGAGCGAGTTATGCGGAGATCGCTATCGGGGTAGAGAGACCGTGAATGACAATTACCCTGGCTGGTGGTATCACTGCAGGAATCTGATTAAGACACTGAGATATAAGTGCGATTGATGAGACCTGAATCGTGTGATGGATCAAGCTTCGCGCTAATAAATCCACTTAGATCGATCATTTAGATAACACCTGCTCAGGTGCATATTTGTACTAATAAAGCACTTGCTGGATAGCTCGAGGTTTTTCGTACCGGTTTGCGGACAGGATGTTCCACTGGCACTGATACGCCAAACACCGTTTATTATAAGGCGAGTGTACGGTGTATTTCTGTGTATGTGGTGTTGGAATTTTAACTAATTTTTTTTAAATACTTACCCTGTAATTTTTGACAACTTTTTCAAAAGGTCAAATTTTGTGTACACCTTATGTAAATTTCGACATTTTTTGACCACACACCGGAAGTTACCTAAAGATTTTTTTCCAAATTTAGAATATTTCTGAAATTTTACTCCCAAACCATACACACAATAGAAATTTCCAATTATATCCCAGAATTTTTTGTGCATTTTTATATAACTATTTGAAAAGTTCAATTTTTCAGTCCTCCTATTTTATAAAAATTACGAATGTTTCTGTTCTCCTTTGAAAATTACCTAACGAATATTTTTTCTAAGAGTTCGACCTGCAGAAGTTATTTTCAATCTTATTTCTTCGAAAACGGCTTCCATTTTTCTAGAATCGCCCAATGAAATATAGAAATAATTGGGATAAATATGCTATACTTTTCGAATCAGCGCATCGAGATCTACATCCCTGAATTTTTGGCAAACTTTTTCAAAAGTTCAATCTTTCAATTCTCTTGTAAAAATTTCGACATTTTTTCGACTCCTTTCAAAATTACCTAAAGTTTTTTTTGTAGATTTGAATATTTCTAAAATTTTGCTCCCAGACCATAAACTCTCTAGAAATTTTGAGTCACATTCAAGAATTGTTTGTGTATTTTTGAACAATTAAAAGCTCATTTTTCAGTAGTCCTCCCTAATGAAAATTGCGGCTTTATTGATCTCTTTTGAAAATTACCTAAAGAATATCTTTCTCGATTTCGACTTTCAAAAGCTATTTTCACTTTCATTTCTTTGAAAACTGTGTCCATTTTTCCAGACTCGCATAATAAATTATGGCAATATTTGGGATTTAACAAAAAACACTTAGGTTCAAAATTAATATTTAGAAAATTTTGCTAGGGCGCCATAAATAGAGTATATTTTTAGAATCACTACATCCAAAATTTTGTTATCAATTTTTGGACAACTTTTTCAAAAGTTCAATTTTTCACAGCTTCTTGTGAAAATATCGACTTTTCTTCGACCACGTTCGAAAATTACCTAGAGATTTTTTTCCAGATTTTAAATATTTCTGAAATTTTACTCCCAAACCATACACAGAATAGAAATTTCGAATTATATTCAAGAAATTTTTGTGCATTTTTAGACAACTATTTGAAAAGTTCAATTTTTCGGTACTCCTATTTTTATAAAACTTAGGACATTTTCTGTTCTCCTTTGAAAATTACCTAAAGAATATTTTTTCAGATTTCGACTTCCATAAGTTATTTCCATTCTTATCTCTTCGAAAACACATTCCATTTTTCCAGAACCGCCCCATGAAATATAGAAATATTTGGGATTAAAAAAAAAAAGAGTTCCATAACGAATATTTTGAAACTCTTGCACCGGGACGATAAATATGCTAGATTTTTCGAATCAGTGCATCGAAATCTACATCCCTGAATTTTTTCTGAATTTTTGACAAACTTCTTCAAAAGTTCAATTTTTCAGTTCTCTTTGTTGTAAAAATTTTACAGCTTTTTTTGTAGATTTGGATATTTCTAAAATTTTGCTCCGAGATCATAAACGCTCTGTAGAAATTTCGAATCATATTCCAAAATTTTTTGTTTATGTTCAATCAACTTTTCCGAAATGTCAGTTTTTGTTCAGTACTCCTCACTTATGAAAATTTTGTTTTTTTTTGTTCTATTACCTTAAAAATAGTTTTTCTAGATTTCGTCATTCTGAAGCTATTTTCAGTCTCATTTCTTACAAAAATTCCTTCCACTTTCATGTAGTCGGCCAACGAATTGTGGCAATATTTGGGATTTATAAAAAAATAGTTTCAAAGTGAATATTTCAAAAATCTTGTTCCTGAACCATAAACATACTACAGGTTTTCGAATCACTACATCGAGATCTATATCCCAGAATTTTCCAGAATTTTTGGACAAATTTTTCAAAAGCTCAAGTTTTCAAAACTCCTCCATGTGAAAATTTCGGCCATTTTTCGACTCCTTCAAAAATTGGCTAGAGATTTTTTTGTAGATTTAGATAGTTCTAAAATTTTGCTGCGAAATCACAAACTCTTTAGAAATTTTGAATCATATTCCAAAGATTTTGTGTATTTTTAGTGAACTTTTCCAAAATCTCAACTTTTCAGAACTCCTCACTTATGAAAATTTCGGCTTTTTTCGATCTTCTTCGAAAATTACCTAAAAAATTTATTTTGTAGTTTTAGACCTCCGGAAGCTATTTTCAGTCTCATTTCTTCGAAAACTCCCTCCATTTTTCCATAATCGCCCAATGAATTATGGCAATATTTGAATTTAAAAAAAAGTTACAAAGTGAATATTTCAAAAATCTTGCTCCGAAACCGTAAACTCTCTAGAAATTTCGGATCATATTCCACAATTGTTTGTGTATTTTTAAACAATATTTCCAAAAGCTCATTTCTTCAGTAATGAAAATCTCGAATTTTATCGATCTCCTTCGAAGATAACCTAAAGAATTTTTTTTTACATTTCTGTCTCCAAAAGTTATCTTCGACTGCATTTCTCTGAAAACTCCTTACATTTGTCCACAATCGCCCAATGAAATATGGTAATATTAATTTGGGAATAAAAAAATATTTCCAACACGAATATTTCGAAAATTTTGTTCCGGGATCATAAACAGGTTATATTTTTCGAAACACTACATCGAGATCTATATCCCCGAATTTTTTCCGAATTTTTTGACAACTCTTTCAAAAGCTCAATATTTCATTACTAGGTACTTCTAAAAATTTCGACGTTTTTTCGACCCCTTCGAAAGTTACCTAAAGATTTTTTTGTAGATTTAGATATTTCTAAAATTTTGCCCCGAGACAATAAATTCTCTAGAAATTTCGAATTACATTCCAGAATTGTTTGTGCATTCTTAAACAATATTTCCAAAAGCTCAATTTTGCAGTAATCTTCCGTAATGAAAATCTCGACTTTTGTCGATCTCCTTAGAAAATAATCTAAAGAATTTTTTTCAAAATTTCGATCTCCAAATGCTATTTTGAGTTGTATTTCTCCGAGAACTTTTCCCATTTTTCTAGAATCGCCCAATGAAAAAGGGTAATATTTGGGAATTAAAAAAAAATATTTCTAAAACGAATATTTCGAAAATTTTGCTCCAGGACCAGAAACAGGTTATATTTTTCGAATCACTACATCGAGATTTGTTTCGCTAAATTTTTTCTGAATTTTTGAACAACTTTTCCAAAAGCACAATTTTTCAATTGTCCTACTTGTAAAAATTTCAACCTTTTTCGACCCCTTCGAAAATTACCTAAAGAATTTTTTTTCAAGATTTCGATCTCCAAAAGCTATTTTCAGTTGCGTTGCTCTTCTCTTGTGACATTATCGACATTTTTTCGACCACCTTCGAAAATTACGTAGAGATTTTTTGTAAATCTAAATGTTTCAAAAATTTTGGTTCCAAGACTATAAAGACTAAGAAAATTTGGACTTTTTGTGATTTTCGAAAATCACCTGAAGAATATTTTTTCTAGATTTCAACTTCCAGACGCTTCATTTTTTCGAAAACTATTTCCATTTTTCCAAAATCGTCCAATGACGATAATATGGCAATATTTCTGATTAAAAAAAATAATGATTTCAAAACGAATATTTCGAAAATCGTGCTTCGGGACTATAATCATGATATATTTTTCGAATCACCACGTCGAGATCTATATCCCAGATTTTTTTCTGAATTTTTGGAAAATTTTTTCAAAATCTCAAATTTTCAATTCCCCTTCTTCAGAAAATATTGATAATTTTTCCGAGATCATAAACTCTCTATAAATTTCGAATCTTATTCCAACACTTTTTGTGTATTTTTAAACAATTTTTCCAAAAGTTCAATTTTTCAGCTCTCATCTCTTAAGAAAATTTCAATTTTTTTTATCTCCTTGGAAAATTACCTAGACTTTGACGTCTACAAGTCATGTTCAACCTCATTTCTTCAAAAACTCCTTCCATTTTTCCAGAATCGCCCGTTGACTTCTAACAATATTTGGGATTAAAAAAAAATAGTTCCAAAGCGAATATTTTGAAAATCATGCTCCGGAATTATAAACATGCTATATTTGTCGAATCACTACATCGAGATTTGTATTCTAGATTTTTTTCCGAATTTTTGGACAAGCTTTTCAAAAGTTCACGTTTTTCTCCAAAAGCTCAATTTTTCAGTACTCATCTTTTATGAAAATTTCGCCCTTTTTTGAGCTTCTTCGAAAATTATCTATAGAATATTTTTTAAAAATTTCGACTTCTAAAAGCCATTTTCAATCTTATTTCTTTAGAAATAACTTCCATTTTTCCAAAACCGCCCGATGAAATATAACAATATTTGGGATTAAAAAAAATAGTTCCAAATCGAATATTTCGAAAGTCATGCTCCGGGACCATAAACGTGTTATATTTTTATTCCAGATTTTTTTCCGAATTTTTAGACCACTTTTTCAAAAGC